CTCGCTTGTAAAACCTTGAAATTAAATGTGATTTGTATAACCTTGTCACGGAGCTGCTATTATTCATCCCTAAACCAAAGCTTAACAGTATAGAGAAAGACAAAAAACATCAATTTATGGTAAATTGCAGCTGGATATATATAGGATCCCATTTTATATCTTTACAAATACCAAGCAAATTCTCTGATATTTGTGATAAGGAAGGCACAGTATTAAGGATTTGCCATTCATTGTATTTGGCTAAAAGCCATCCATATGAATCTACACTAGAATTTGGTATTAAACATCAATTCCAAAAAAAGAGCTTTGTTTGGATTTGTTCCCTTGGACTTGATGTATGGTAATTTTTTTTTTGAGAAATTTGGAGTTAAAAGCAATAAAGGATATTCTTGTTTATAATAATTGTCCATGATAAGTCATTATTGCTCTTATAATACACTGAAGCACACACTCAAGTAGACATCTGCAATGATTATTTAAAATTATATTGTAAGAATAATGGCATTCCCCAAACAGAAAGAGCTTTTTATATGCTCTTATTATGGCTCCACGGGAACACCCAATAATGGCCTATTAATGATTTGGGGTAAGCCAAAGACATCACTCAGCTTTTAAGTGAAAATAGTGGAACCTCTGGAAACATAGCCAGTGTCACAAGGACAGATACAATGGCACTTTTCAATTAACTGAGCAGTAATGATTTTAAATACAGATCATGCTTGAAGGGATGGTAGAGCTTCATCTCAGTGTTTGGAAGGTGCATGTGCTGGCTGGAACCCACATACATGCCAGATCCAGCTCGTGCCTCTTTACATCCATCCTTCCCTGAGCCCTGGGATGGCCCCTCACAGCTCAGACCACATCAGTGGTTATCCCTTACTTCTTGCTTCCAGGCAGCCTCAACTTCTGGGAAATAACTGCACAAGATCAGTAACCAGGAGTTGTCACGAACTGGCTTTCTCTACTAAAGACTATGCTTGGGAGTAGCCAGCCTTTTCCTACAGCTGTAATGCTTGATAGATTCAGGTCCTGCTCATACCCGTGGTCTTTCAGGTTAAAGGATAGTGCAGCATCTCACTGCCTATTCTGGGGCACTTCTTTATGTGTTTCCCATGTCTTGGCTACACTGCATTAACTACCCCTGCTTTAAATCCTTCTAGGCACTAACTTGAATCCCTATCCCTCTCTGCCAGGACACTGAAGGTGTCTTCCATTTCCTCTCCTAGGACCACTCATGTTAATTCAGGACCTTAACCAAATGAAGGCATGATCCATCACAATAGGCTCCTTCTCTTGTCTTTTTATAAAGGGAATCTGCTAGTTCCATCACTTCTGTATCAACACATGCTTCATTATTACAATTTCTTTCATTAAAAAGAATAAATGCCCCTTTGGTGGTTGGATCTTAGTAGAGTGCTTGCCTGCCACATATAAAACACTGGATTTGATACCCAGCACCACATCCCAGAGGATGAGAAGTTTGGGCAATTTTTGGCTACATGACAAGCTCATCACCAGATTTATCTGTATGAGACACAGCCTCAAAAAACCAGAGCAATCACAATGACATGCTCCTCAAAGAAAAGTCAGTACCCTTCTGGGGGCACACATCTGTCATATCAGCACTTAGGAGACTGAGACAGGATGATCGCAAGTTCTACATCAGTATGGCCTGATGTGGCATTCCCCTCTGTATGCTGTGAATATGTTCTATTACCATTGCTTAATAAAGAAGCTGCTTTGACCTATGGGAGGGCAGAATATAGGTAGGTGGGAAAATTAAACTGAATGCAGGGGGAAAGAAGGTGGAGTCAGGTGGATGCTATGTAGCTGCCAAAGAAGCAAGAGGTAACAAACCAGGAGTTTCATGGTAAAATATAAAACAATAGAAATGGGTTAAGTTAAGATGTAAGCGTTAGTTAATAAGAATCTTGAGCTAATAGGCCAATAAGTATGTAATTAACATTAGGCTTCAGAATGGTTATTTCACAAACAGCTGCAGGAGCTCGTGAGTGGGACCTGGAGGATGGGATGAAACTCGTCCAGGGGGACCAGTGGATTGGAAAATATTTGTAGCTACAATGGCCTATACAGAAAGACTCTCAAATGGACCTTCCCACCACCAAAAAAAAAAAAAACAACCCTTCTTTATTTCTCAATGGATATAATTTGGTTCATCCCGAGCTCAGAGCAATTGGTGCTCAAAATACGATTCAAGACAATCCAATTAGATTTGGTTTTAAGATTTCTATTGGAAAGGATGGGGCACAGAGGCTTCAACTTAGAGACAGCTAAGAGTAAGGACATGGGCCTGGAATTTTGAGGTCAAGCAGAGGTGAGTCCTTTGAGAATAAATCAAGTAAGGAGACAGGAACACAGAGATGGAAAGGTGTGACTGATGTCATTAAGAGAATCCTGGGCACACTTGAAGCTTGTCCTGGGACACAGGCTGCACGACACTCCCTATGCTCAAGCCAAGTTGAGCATCTGTCACTTGAAAACTCTTACCTAACAGGCCTCCCCCAAGAGAAACACACCTAAGAAAGTAAATGATGGCAAGTGCTAGCAACCGGGACGTTACAAATGCCAACTGTCTAGATTTCTTGTGCTGTTTTCCTTAAGAATACTGACTGAAGATGCATACATTTATATCAAGACCACAGAAATCAGTATGCAGAAATGGTCCATCACCGCAGATTTCCTCTATGACTACCCAGTCACACTCACACAGCTGGTCACCATCTGAGCCAGCAAGCTTGTGGAAGGCTTCCCGAGGTTCGCAGGTCTTATGATATGGAAGCTCTTAATACCCGAACTGACCTTTCATTCTCTGACATCTACGAGAAATGGGACAGCACCAAACCAAACAACCCACTGTTCATTGAACTTTGCAGTGCAGGCCCACGCATGCACAGGTACACACAAAGAACAATGGTGGAGAAGAGCTGAATGATCCGTTCAGACGTTATTACCCAGAGCCACCTGACTGGGCCTTCTCCGATGACAGGACTCATGGGCAGGAAAGCTGCTATTGCAACATCTCTACTCCCATTTAGCATCTATCAGAAGGGGAGTCAGGGGAAGGTCAGACTGTCTCAGAGCCCGGAAACACTAGCATGACTGTAGGTTCAAGGGACAGCAAACAGATGTAAGAACAATGACCAACAAGATCAAAAACACCGATGACAACTTATGCTGGAGAGGTTGTGGGGTAAAGGGAACACTCCTGCATTGCTGGTGGGAATGCAAGCTTGTATAGCCCCTTTGGATAACAATATGGAGATTTCTCAGAAAATTAGGAAACAACCCTCCTCAAGACCTAGCAATACCACTTTTAGGTATATATCCAAAGGATGCTCAATCGTGACACAAGGACATGTGCTCAACTATGTTTATAGCAGCATTGTTTGTCATAGCCAGAACCTAGAAACAACCTAAATGTCCCTCAACCAAAGAATGGATAAGGAAAATATGGTACATTTACACAATGGAGCACTACACAGCAGAAAAAAATAATGACATCTTGAAATTTGCAGGCAAATGGATGAATCTAGCAAACATCATACTGAGTGAGGTAACCCAGACCCAGAAAGACAATTATGATATGTACTCACTCATAAGTGGTTTTTAAACATAAAGCAAAGAAAATCAGCCTACAATTCACAATCCCAGAGAACCTAGACAACAATGAGGACCCTAAGAGAGACATACATGGATCTAATCTACATGGGAAGTAGAAAGAGGACAAGATCTCCTGAGTAAATTGGGAGCATGGGGACCATGGGAGAGGGCTGAAGGGGAGAGGATAGGCAGGGAGGGAAGCAGAGAAAAATGTAGATTTCAATAAAATCAATTTAAAATAAAAAGAACTATGGCCAAGGCTCAATCCTTCAATCCTTCCTCTTCCCAACACATCACATGGAGAGACAGTGTTAACATTCTATGTGAAACCTTTTCCATGGTAGCTGCCCTTCGTGACACACATCAATCATCATCATTATTACCACTATTATTGTTTTATGTCAAAGGGCTACTGTTTTCTAAATCCATCATTTATATGAAGGCCGAACAGTGACACAGTCTTCATGGGTGCTTTCTTGCTTCAGAGTTCCTGCTCACTACACTATTTAATTGATTTGCTAAAAAGTCTAATCTAGGGTTCATAAAACACATTTGCAGCATAAATTAAAGCTTCTGCCATTGCAACCCTCGATTCGATTTTCATCTTGTACCAATTGTCAAGTATATGTATAGATTCTTACACATACATGCATGTAAAAGCTGAAATGCAGATTGTCTAGAAGATCAAGAAGACTGGTAAAATAGGAATGCAAGTATGATACATAAATTTGCATATATACCATTGTGAATCTCAAGATCTTATATGAGAAATATATTCTAATAGCTAATCTTAAAACTGCTTACTGTTCCAATATTGTCATGCATTCATTTAAAATACAAACTTTGTCACTCCTGCCTAGACTGGCAGCCCATACAAAGTAGGTGCTCTTTAAGAATGACATTTAAAACCTGCTTGTTGAAAAGCACAAGTAAAAGATCTCGTGGAAATGAATCAGCACATAGTAGTTTCTCAATAAACTCTCATTATTATCATTGCTGCCATTTGTAAGCATATGATTCCTAGAGGATCTATTAATTAATGAGCAAGTTCATTAAAATCCACACAAACCCCTTCTGAGCAATCACTTCTACTTTCCCCATAGATGCTGTATTATCAGCTTGAGTTACCACAGAAATCAAACTATTCATTAATTTGCTCATTGCGCAGTTAGGGACCACATGTAATTTGCTGCATATTTGAAAGTATGCCAGAGAATAAATGTTGATTAAGATGAATTTTGCACATACTGCCATGTTATGAGGTCTGCTGGGATGGACGAGAGAGTCAGTTCACTGCCAAGGAGAACACCAGCCTACAGAATGAGGTAGCTTCAATGCGAAAACCTAGAGACAATCGACCCAGGAGACGTTCCCCTCACCTTTTCTGCCAGCCAGCCAAGATGTCTGATCTCACGACTGCCAGCAATGCCCGTCTTCCCCAGCTGTTCTCTGATGTCGGCAATGACTCGTGTCAGCAAGTCACTAACGTTGGTATGGATGGCACTGAACCAGGCTTGGGCAGTGGCGGAGTCCTTTGTCCTCAGGATCACCGTGTGCTTAGCATCCGGAGAGTGGATTTCAAGCTGCCTGGAGAAGCAAAGGGAGATAGAAGGTGATCCAGGAGCTCCTTCTGCATCAAAAAGCTACTGTTCTAAGGCAAACACCATGTTTATTCTCATCATTTACCTCCATGGTCATGCCTTCATTCTGGCATTTATTTGTTCAGATCATCACCTGCTGGCCAGGTGCTCGTCTGTGCCTTCAGAGCATAACATAACAGCACTATTGCAAACACCAAATCCTCTAAATGAAGGATGTTTTGGTTTCCTGTGATGTGGCCAATTGTAAGATAATATTCATTCACTTGCAGAAGATTTTAGTATTGCCCATATGTCATTGCTGTTGTGGTAGCAAGTAGACTGTGGTCACCAACCACGTTCTTAACCCCATTGCCCAGTGTTCGCCAATTAAGATGTTTAAAAATAAAAATAACGCAGTTTCATCTAGCTCAAACTGGTCCCCAAATTTCCAAGTGACTGAGGATGATCTTGAACTAACTCTCTCGCTGCCTGCTCTGCCCTATCAAGGGCTAGGCTTATAGGCTTGCTCCACTACTCACCAGGTGTCAACGTTTGTATTCTTTAAGATTCTTGTCTGTGGCACACTTAAGTATGACTACACCACTGGGCTCCTTCAGTGAAGGAGAGGGTGGTGTGAAAAGCAGGAGCAATGGTGTGAACAGGGATGGGCTAATCTTAGCACTTCTTGTAGTTAAACCAGAATGCCAATGCATATGCCAGAGTTCCAAGTGGACCCCTTGAGTTATAGCATGAACGATCTATTTAGAGGAAGCGTGATAATTGTGGGATGTTTCCGATAGGTTCTGGGGAGGTTTGAATAAGAATGCTCCCCATAGGCTCAGAGATTTAAAGGCTTAGTCACTAGAGAGTGGAGCTCTTTGGTAGGATTAGAAGGACGAGGAGGTATGGCCTTGTTGGAGGAATAGTGTTCCTGGAGGGAGGGGTGGTGGCAGCTCTGAAGCCAGAGCATGGTGTTGCTGATAGGCCTGACCTTGCTGCTGATTGGCAGAATGTGGACTTTGGGACTTTGGATTAGCGTTGCAGCTGAACACTTGAAGCAGGGCTTAATGGGCCACCCAAACAGGAAGCATGGAAGACAGTGGTGCTATGCGCAATGTAGTTTATTACAGCCCTGATCAAGAGGTTTCAGAGGGGAGGAATATTAGTAGTGAACTAGAGACCATTCTTGTGATATTTTTGGCAAGGAATGTGGCTACTCTCTCCCCTTGTCCAAATAATCTACCAGAGGCTGAATTGAAGAAGAGATTTTCAGACAGCTTAGTCTTGACCGTGCCATGTGGTTTTTAGTAAGGACTCTTAGGCATTTCTGTAACGAAAGGGAGCAAATAGGACAAGAGAAATACACAATGTACAGTTTGAGGAGAAAAGGAGCACTGGAGAGTGCACTGGAGCTAAGTCCAGTGCCCAAGGAGGTAAAAGGTTTAAAGAAAAGCCTGATGCTAAATAGAATAAAGGGAGCGGTGACCTCGAGACAAGACCCCACCCACTAAGCTTTCCTACCTGTGAAAAGGAATTGATGTAAAGGCCAGGCAATGAAGGAAACCATCAAAACCAGAAAGCTGATGAGGATGTAACCGATTGAGGGGGCCACGTTCCAGCTCCAGCAAGCAACAGAACATGGCAGCTTTGGCCACATGGTTCTGGCTTTAGTGGCAAGAGTATAAGGAAAGGGTTGTGGAATCTTCCCACAATGAAGAAAAGCTGCCGAGGCCAGGCGTGCGGCTGATGTTTCCATGTACTCAGGCCCAGAGCGGCCACTGTGTGACGCTGTGGAGGTGCAGCCTGGATTGCCTTGGGGACCCCAGGATGTAGGAGCTGAGAGAGTCGAGGATACCTGCCAGGGAGAGCTGCAGACCAAGTATGGAACTGGCCCAGGAGAGAGAAGTGTGCTGCACTCAATGAAGCTGAAAGGAATTAGAGGCCTTTAACATCAGACATGGAGATGCAGAATTTGGAGTTTGCTCTGTTAGGTTTTTGGTCTTGCTTTGGTCCAGAATTTCATCACCATGCTCCCCCAATGGTAATGTGTCAGAGTGCATTGGAAGTATGCGTTCTGTTTTCGATTTTGATTTTGCAGGGTGCAACAGTTAAAAGAACACCATGAGTCTCAGAAGAGACTTTGAACTTTGGATGTTTAAACAGTGTTCAGACTGTGACAGACTATGGGGACTCTTGAAGTGGAACTGAAAGCATTTTTGAATTATGCTATCGCAGCAAGCCTATAGGGGTCAGGAAGTGGAATGTGATGGTTTGAATAAAAATGGCCCCGATAGGCTCATAGATTTGAGAGCTTAGTCACCAGAAAGTGGAACCCTGATACGAGATTAGAAAAATTCAGAGATGTGGCATTGTTGGAAAAAGTGTCGTTGGGAGTGGGGGTGAGGTGAACCTTTGAGGTTTCAAAGGCCCAGGTCAGGCCCTGTTTCTCTCTGCCACTCCGGGGCCTGCAGATCAGAAGGTAGCTCTCAGCTACTGCTCCAGCCCCGTGCTCCTTGCCATGATGATAACGGACTAATCCTCTGAAACCGCAAGCAAGCCCCCTGTTAAATCATTCTTTTATAAATGTTGCCTTGCTCGTGGTGTCTCATCACAGCTGGAGAACAGTGACTAAGGCAGTTATATTTTGCTTTCAGTTTGTTATTGTGATGGGATTACAGGTTAATGTGAATGTGCACAAATAAAGTACAGGGAAATCTGGCCTGACTTCCACTCAGTTTGCCCTGGTGATTTTTATTTTACACACTACACGTTGATATCAAAATGAGGACACTGGCATTAGTACAGTGCATATGTCTATGCAGTTTTATCCTGTGGATATGTGTATGAAGACCACTGTAATCCTGGTACAGGACAAATTCAATCACCGCAATGATTTCCCAACGAGCTTCTTATCACTATCCCTTATGACCACGTGTTCTCCAGCTCTGTTTATTTAATATAGTTATTTTCTATTGCAAGAAAAAATTATATTTATTTTTATTTACTGGTGTTGGTATTGGGCACCTCAAAAAAGAATTAAATTATCTATTTACTAGCTTCCTTCCAGTGCTTAATAATTACACAGCTGTCCACTATGAATCTACCACATTCCGGCAAAGTTTTTGATCCTTTAATAGAACAATAGCAGGATGTTCCCAATAATCCTGTGACTTATATTGTTAACCTATTTAACATAGTTGAAATTGAAGTTTGAAAGGGCAGGGAAATAATTTACTCAAGGCTACACTGTTGGAGATTCTGGGATTCAGACCCATGTGATTCTATGAATTTGCAAACATTATAGCACCTCTGCTGTAGATTAGGGAGCATCCGAGAGGGAGCAAACTATGAGCTTCCATAGTAGTCAGAAGACTGGTACTCACCGCCTGGGATGCATCCAATAGTGCCCTACTTAGCTCCTGCCTTGAAAGAGAACGAGTTAGTAGATCACAGGAAAGTTAGACATCTCAAGGCAACCTGGCCCCCATCAACATTTGAAACTGACCTTAGGGAGAAACTCATTCAACTCAGAAACCTGAACTGTAGAAAAGGAATGATTTGGAAAATGGAATGTCTCTGAGGAGTTGAACAACAGTTAGTCTTCTTGATAAGAAATTTGAAGACAAGCCATAACAGCCTGTGGGTTTCATGTGATGAAACGGGCTTGGGGGAGGGGGGTTATCTGACAATGAAGTCTGTCCTCACCCAGGAGAAAAACAATGCTACACCTCTTAGGGACTTTCCAAAGAGAGGCAGTAAGTCAAGGGTGGGCATAGGATTCTAGAAAAAGTTGAGGAGCACGCTCAGATCGTCTTTCAACTTCTATCACTATTTATTGTTCTAGAAAGTTAAAATGTGCAGGCTCTTCGCTTGATGATATTTTTTTTTGAAAATCTGGTCACCTGTTTTAAATGTAATAACAGTTTGGGAAGTCATCACTTTCTCTCTCTCTCTCTCTCTCTCTCTCTCTCTCTGTGTGTGTGTGTGTGTGTGTGTGTGTGTGTCTGTCTGTCTCTCTGTATGGGTGGGGAGGGTGGAAAGAAGAAAGAGAAAAAGAGAGGGGGAAGGAGGGAAGAAAAGAGAGAGAGGAGAGGTGAGAGACCGATAATGAGAGGGGAGGGAGGGAATGTGAGAGATGGGGAAGGAGGGAGGGCCTAGAGTGTTTCTAGGGAAAAGTTTAAATACTGGGTTCCAGCATGTTCCCCAGTGGCTCTCAAAGTGTGGCCAAGTCCAGTAACACCAGCTTACTGAGAACTTTCTAGAAATAGACACTATTTGTTTCCCTTCTCAGCACTATTTAGGAATCCTGAAGGCAGGTCCCAGCAACCTCTCAGGAAAACTGGATGCAGTTCTATTTGAGGAGGAGCCGCTCTGTGGGCTTGTAAAAGTCTCAGTACAGCTGGTGCCAGGTCCACTTGCTGAGGTAGACGTGCTGAATGGTGAGCTGTTGATTGAACTATTGAATTAATGATTGAACTAATCAATTAGTCCTCAAATAAGGGGAGCAGAAGACCCAGAGCAGAAAAGGGGCTTGAAGCTTTTATACCCAAAGACAGTAGAAGTTCTCTATGAAAGGATTCCTTACAAACCTGAACTACATTTCGTTTGAAACATCATTTGGTTAAATACAGATGCTTGGAGCGTATCCCAAACTTATCAAGTGCAACTCTCCTGTGGCTGAAGCCCGAGTATATGCTTTAACATGTCCCACGGATTATATGGACTAAATGGACAGCAGCCCCCTAAGCCTAGGCTGCAGCCCTTTAAGAGATACAGAACCTCCAGACAAGATTGGGCATGTTCAGCATGACGTGGGGAGACACAGCTAAAATTCAGGGCCATTGAGGGCTGGCATGGAAACCGAATGCAGTAGCAGCTTTCTAAAATATGGGCATACATGAAGCAAACTAAACAAAATTGCCAAATAATGGAGGAGACAGAGTACCAACTAAGCATCTCTTGTCACCAAATGACACTTCTGGCACTGGGACTGGGCTACATCTAATT